GTTTAGAGAGCTTCCTGCAGTCGCACACATCCGTCTTGCGTTGTTCACAAAGTCTTACAAGGTACTATTTTTATTATTTACCCTTTGCAGCTTGCATCATTACAGATGTGACTGTGCACTGAGGACCTTTTCCCTCACTGGAGATTTCAGTAGCTGTGCCTGTGTGGGCTGGTGACATTTTCTGAACCTGTTTACAACTTAATCAGGAGAGTACTCATGACTGCTATTTACCGAACTGTTTTCTACTTTTTTTTTTTAAAAAAATAATAATTTAAAGGATGTGATAAAGTTCATTAAATGAAACACTGTTCCTGCTCAAAATTCCCACCAAAGTCGATGGCAGGTCACTGATATCAATGGGCTTTGGGTCAGACCCCTGAGCTTCTTAAAATCATTTTCCCTTCAAAGCATTTCAAGCCACAGAGCAGTTGTAACTTTGGTGTGCTCTACAGAATAAGCTTCAGAGAATCTCCTTCAAAATTCCCACCTAAGGAGCCACTCGGTGTCTGTAATCCCTTGGTGTGATCAAAAAGCAAAGGAGAACATGAAGAAATCTAAAGATAAACTAGAAAAGATACCATAGCAAGAGGTCAAAGGCATTTAAGAATTCCTTTTGAGAAGCAAAGTGACATCTAAAAGGGTGAAGGTAAAAGACGACATAGAGAAAGTAGGTCAACATTGAATGTAAAAGAAATATGAAGAGGCTCCTATTGTGGTATCAAAGTGCTTTTGTAAATCAGAGTAATGTGAATAGTCAGTCAGAAAGAATGATACCATGGAAGTCTCAATGTTTTTTATCAGCCTGTGACTTAATATACTTGTCAAGGTATACAAATGAACAGTAAAAAGTTATGTACTTCCCATTTTCACAGCCCTTTAGATATTTTTTGGATGAAATGTAACAGCTGTGGTTAATGGCTCTGGAAACCGAAGTTCCGTTTCCATAGAACAGTGGTAAAGTATACATCCTTCCCAGGTGGAGGCAGATTAATTCAGTTGTCTGCTCATTCATTTTTGACTGTTCTGATGAGGTTGCCAAAGAAATTTCCATTTGCGGGCATGATTTTGGAAAGTTAGTACCTGCTGCTTAAACCCAACTGTTTCACAAGGGCCATGCTATGGCCAGCTAGGGCAAGATGCAAAAATACGCAACTTGGGCATTGGTAAAGACAGGAGAAGCACCAGCGCAGGCAACAACGATGCTGGAAGATCCATCTCTGAACGCACGGGTCTGTCGCCCACCGCCCGACATGCGAAGCGTCACCTGCTGGAGCGAGGCACCTTCACCACCGGCTTTCTCCGAAGCCATTCCAATGCTGAAGGACACATCTACTACACATCTACTTCGCAGGCTTTGGACCACTGCTCTACTTTGGCAGCCACCGTGTACTGGATGGCTGGAAGGAGCTGCACAGCCATGACCAGTACACCCTGTGTCCTGCTAGGGAAGGGAAGGGAAGGGAAGGGAAGGGAAGGGAAGGGAAGGGAAGGGCAAACCCGGATGCCTTCAGGGGCAGGCGGCAGGGGCTGACAGCGTTTCGGCCGGGGGGCGGCGGGCAGAGCCCCAGCCCGCCTTGCGGCCCGGCCCC